AGAGGTGAAAGGTGCATGGATGGGAATAGGAGAAGACTCCTGCCTGATGGTTTATATTTTCTCGATGAATACTTTTTGAAGTTCATGACCTGAGTCAGGGTAAGAGACATGAGAAGCTTGAGGGAAGAGGACTCAGTGTGAAATAGCAAACATCCGGGGAAATGGAGTAGAATTACCAGCGTCCTAAGCACCCTTTTAAAATCTGTGGTCATGAACTTAAAGTGAGACCAGTACAAAATTTCCACCTGCTCTGTGCAGGAATGAAGTATTATGAATAGTTTAATTTAGCCACAGTTGGGGTTTTTGTCAGAGAAGCTGAATGAAAGGACAGAGGTGCAGTGTTTTCCAGGGAGTGATTATAATGATGGACCACAGAATCTAAGCCGGACAAGGAAACAAGGAGGGTATGTAAAGCAGGAATGAATTGTGTCCAGTGATAAAAATACTTTTTTTCTAATCTATTTTCAATATCCCCAAAATATCACTAAATTGGATGTGAAAGGTGGTATCAGGTATGCAATTTTTATAGGGTGCTTCATCTTTGCAGGTGTAAAATGAGAAAGGCATTTTTAATATCAGATTTCTCTGACTTTTGAATCTGGAGATGGTTTACTGTCAATAACTGTGAAGGGTTTGAGAGTCTTGCTTTTTCTTTTTAGAGGCAGTGTTTCACAGTGTCTCACTCTGTCTCCCAGGCTGGAGTGTAGTGGCATGATCATGGCTCACTGCAGCCATGACTCCGGGGCTCAAGCAATCCTCCCACCTCAGCCTCCCAAGTGGCTGGGACTACATGCATGCACCACCATGCCTGGTTGACTTTTCCATTTTTCATAGAGATGGAGTCTTGCTATGTTGCCCAGGCCGGTCTCGAACTGGGCTCAAGTGATCCTTGTGCCTCAGCCTCCAAAAGTGCTGGGATTATAGGCATGAGCCACTGTACACCTGGCCCTGAGATTCTTTTTTTTTGAGATGGAGTCTCACCCTGTTGCCAGGCTGGAGTGCATTGGTGCGATCGCAGCTCCACCTCCTGGGTTCAAGCATTCTTCTGCCTCAGCCTCCTGAGTAGCTGGGATTACAGGTGCGTGCCACCACGTCTGGCTAATTTTGTATTTTTAGTAGAGATGGGGTTTCTCCATGTTGGTCAGGCTGGTCTCAAGCTCCCCACCTCAGGTGATCTGCCTGCCTCGCCCTCCCAAAGTGCTGGGATTACATGCGTGAGCCACTGCGCCTGGCCGAGAGTCTTAAGACTCTCAGTTAATCTCTTATTGTTTTGTGGATGTTGACAAAAGACACAAGACTTTTGGTTCAGAGATGAAGGACTGTACTACTCATGACACAGCAAGCAGCGTAAATATTAGCATATTTGTGTTGCTTTCCTTTCCCTCCAAGTCCCACAGAGGTGACAAGATGGGCGTAGTGAATGCTGCAGACACATTGGGCTTGTGTCACAGCTGAGGAACCAAAGGCCCATAACTTTTTGAGCAAGTAGCAAGCACTGTAGCAGGCAGCAAACAAGCCAGGCCTCCTCTGCCCAGAGAGTGAGCAGTTACACTGAAGTCATGCTGTGGTCACCTTGACCTACTTAGTTGTCTATGGGACTAGCTACAGAAATTGCTCAGAATTGGGAGACAGATGAGTCCCGTGGCCTGGCACACTCAGCAAGAATGTGCAAGACCACCCAGGGGTCATGGGGAGCTGCCTGTCCCCATAGTTTTAATACTTTGGAAAGGGGAAATAAATTATGAACAAACTTAATAGTTCTTATTTTAATAATTTACTCTAAACCACAAGACTTATTCCTTTATATGTATTTTTCAACATATATTTTCTTTTTTAAACTTAATCCCAAATATGATAGTGTCAACATATATTTTCAAGACTATCCTTATAACTATGCCAGTAAAAATGTCCAAGCTTATTTCTGAAATGTTTAATAAGAAATATAAACAAAACCACATGATTATATATATGTGTGTGTGCATGTGTGTGTTTGTGTGTGTGTGTGTGTGTATATATATACACATACACACATATATACTGGTTTATTTCCATTATTTATTAAAATTGATCATTTCCTAAAGATGTTTGAGTACAGGGTAAACTATATTCTGATCCATTTTCCCATTTTTTTCACTGGA